ATATAAATGCTTTGAATCTTTAAAGAAGACTTTAGACTATTTTTAGCTGTATCGTATATTCCCATTTTTGCTATTAACTTCTCAAAATACTTTCCTAAGTGCAAGTTAAAAATAACCTACTTTCCATTTCTGTATTATTTACCATCTCACCCTGACCAATTCAATGGCTTCTGCCCTCACTTTTTAACATCTAGTATAAATACAGACAATTAACCATTAGCATTGTGTGTGTAAATTGAATTCATGATCACTAATGACTTAAAAGCATGGCTAATTCTACCACTCTTAAGTAACTAACTTAACTGCAAACCTAAGAACATTTATCAAGAAAAATTCAGTTTGGTTCTTCTTTGTATGAGAATATTTAGAATTGAGCTGTTAATTTCATGTGCATTTGTAAAATGAAAGATAGTAGCCTAAAGTATAGTTCAGGATAATAGTTTCCATTGGTTATTGTAACATTATATTTCTATAACCCATTAATTCTTTGTTTTCTTTCAGACTGACATGACATCAGAAAAACGTAAGATTTTAATAAAACTATTATGGTCTGCATGTATTATCTAATAAAGCATGAAAAGGATTGTAAATTTTAATTGCCACTGGTGATCATATTAACTTTATGAATATAAGATTATAATACTCTAACTATAGTCTGTAGATGAAACCTGTTATTTTGTTATTAATAATTTAAAATTAAAATATTTAGTTCATCTAAGCATTCTCTCTTTTTTTTAAATTACCTGGTAACCCTGCTATTGCTGTTAGCCCTCTATATACTGTAACACCTTCCCCCTCTTATTTTAAGTATGTGACCTGAATTCATTTCATTTCATAAACTAATTACAGTATCACTTTTAAAAATTAAAATATTCACACTGTCAAAACTCATCATAAAATTATTCACATGAAAATCCCTAGGTGCTAGTATAAAAGTGATACTGTTAACAGTAACAAAGATCTTTAAACCATCTATCTGTGTCTTAATACTCTGGTGAAGTATTTCTCTGGGGAAAAAATCATCTCTTAGAATTTTGTTTGCTGGAAATGAATTATTTTTGCCACAAATGAGGATAAAGTTAGGTGATCCTGGCAACTTCCTGTACAAATCTATGCCATTTTCTTGAAAACATGTTTGGACGTGGTTTGCCATTGCCTTCTTTCTAGGGCTGAGAGAGAATGACAAGCCTAAAGTCACCCAACTGGTTTTATGTTTAAGTCAGGACTAGAACTCACAGGCTCCTGGTTTCTAGTCTGGTGCCTTTGATCTCTACACCAAACTGACTCTCTACATCATGCTACAAATGGCTATTTGAAACAGGCATTCATGTGCTAGAGTGCCAGATATATGTTGTGTATCTTGTGATAGCTGCTGAAAAGTATACAGAGAATTAAGTCACATTACAGAAACAGGTAGTTGAGACTAGTCATCCAACAACCCTATCTAAATCAATATAATAGTATGTGGGAGTGACCTTGGGAGGCAAAGCAAAGAGAGCAATGTAGGGAACAATTTGATAAAAAGGAGCTGAGCCTTCGGCAGGAAGAGCCTTCAGCAGGGTAAGAGGCTCAAAAGAGTCCCTCCCTAGTTTCTTGGCCTGTAAAGGAGATAAATCTACATAAAAGATTTGTTAAGATAACTTTACAGTAAAACACAATTAGCCCAGCTGGTTGTATTTGCTATCTGGTTTACTTTATAAGGTTGTCAATCAGCTGCTAACTCAGTCAAATCTTATTTGACAATTGCAGCAGCTAAATCACACCTTGTTATTTGGCGAATAAATCTACTTTATTCAAGAAGTAGATATAGTACTTTATTTATATATACCATGACCTGTTCTACTAGAAGACTACTAGTAAGCTTTCATCAACAGCAATTAGAATGAACTCTTCAATATCACAAAAAAGAAAAGAGAAAGAAAAACAAGTTGAATATATACAAATAGCATTGGGCATATCTCTAATATCCACAGCCCACAGCCACAGCTGGCTGATCATGAAAAAAGACAGACTGACAAACTAAATTCCAAATAGCTATATAGCCCTTGATTTCTCTAAAGGGAGCCTTACTGCAAAACTTTTAATCTTTATTCTTGTCATATCCAATGGGTTTTTTTTTCCAAATCAGATATGAAGTATACTGGATATAGAAAGTCAAACTTCACCACAGTATTTTCCTCATGGTTTAATTCCATTTTAATTTTTAACCTTTAATTTTTATTGGGCTTCTTTTAATGTAAGAATAGTTACCCTGCAATGTATGCAACAGCTTTGCTTTGCATGGAAATAACTTGGCTTACATATATATATATATATGTGTATGTATATATCGTGTGTATGTTTGTGTCTGTATATCTCTGTATGAATGTTTCTGGTTGCCATTCATTACATTTTCTCCCTGAACATTTGAATTCTCTGTTCTATAGTGGTGGTGTTTTAATTAACCCCCCTCCCCTTACTTTCCCATCTTATTTACTTATTTATTTCAATATGAGGATGTTCCAAAATAGGACCATGCCTCTTGAAATAAGTCTTGTATCTGTGTCATTATTTGGATGTAAGATTCCCCTTAGATGAAATGCCGGTTTGCAGCTACCTCAGATATCAATGTATTTCATTTATTGTAAAGTATTGTAGAATTAAATGTAAACATAGATATTTTTACTTTGATTATTGAATCATGTTTATATAATAACTACTTATGGTTCTGAAGTTTGCTACCACTGGCTTTCTCTTTGAGGATATCAGTTTTCAACCAATTACAATCCTTTTTTTGTTCTGTTTTTATTTTAGCATTGATCTGTAACATCTGAACAATCTTGAGATATCTATTTTTGTGTAAATTCCACACTTTCTTTTCCTTTCCTGAATTTGTTTTTATGGTGTCTTGGTTTATAAAAGCTTTGGTGTTTGTGTGTATGGATGTGTTGGACTGCAAAACTAAGCAAGTTATTTCCTGCTTACTTTCCTTTTCAGTTTTCCCTATTAGCTTTGCTTTGCTTTTTTTTCCACCATCAGATTTGTGGACCCACCATTCCCAGACCATTTTGTTGATCCTCCTACTGCTGCAATCAAAAACAGTCATTTCAATCCTGATTACATTTGACAATCTCTATTTTTGATTTCCATTTATTTCCAATGTTTTCCCCTATTTCCATCAAAGATGATGACGAAACAGAATCTACAGAAACATCTGTCCTGAAAAGCCATCTTGTCAATGATGTTCCTGTTCTAGCAAGTCCAGATTTGCTGTCTGAAGTCTCTGAGATGAAACAAGATTTGATAAAAATGACTGCAATTTTGACAACAGATTCTTCTGAAAAAACAGATTCTATTAAGGTGAAAGATCTTACAAAAGCTGCAGATGAAGAGCCTGGAGAACCGTTTGAAATTGTGGAAAGAGTTAAAGAAGACTTGGAAAAAGTGAATGAAATTCTAAGAAGTGGGAGCTGCCCCAAAGAAAAGCCAGCTTTGCAGAGATCTGCTTCTGAGGAAAAGTTGGTGGAAGAAGATTGGGTTCTTTTAAGTGATGAAGAAATTGAAGAGGCCAAGCAAAATGCTCCTTTGGAAGTTTGTGAGCCTATTTGTGTAGAAAATAGAATAGGCAAAGGAAAATCAAAGAAAGAAACAAAAGACATGACAGGAATGATTGATTATCTCAGCGAGGATCTAAAAGTTTATGTGTCTTTGAATGAAATGCAACCGCAGCCATTTCAAGAAGATATAGTAGAAGAAAGATTTGAAGCTGTTGTTGTAAGCAGAGGTTCTGAAGCAGGTAAAAAAGACAAAAAGAAGCAAGATCAATGCAAACCTACCCTGGAAATTAAAAAACCTGTTAGAAAGAAATTAAAAGATAAATTAAATCTAAAGGTTGAAGAAACCCAAGGAAAGGATAAGCCTTCGGGGCTAAACAAATTCAGTTCAGAGGAATCTTTAGATGAAGAACAACTATTATCTACTGCAGAGCCTGTGAAAGATACTGCTGTGTCTCCAGTTATAGAAGAAACCCCTATTGGGTCAATTAAAGATAAAGTGAAAGCTCTTCAGAAGCGAGTAGAAGATGAACAGAAAGGCCGTTCAAAGTTGCCAGTTCGACTTCAAGGAAAAGAGGCATCTGAGAAGCCTGTTACAAAGCCATCACAGACTAAAAAGATTATTTGTAAAACAAAACCTCCAGGTTCTCCCTCTTCCACAAAGACTTCAGCTTCTCCATCAGCCACAAAGATTCCACCTTCTCCAAAGACTTCTGCTGCTTCTTCCTCTCCTTCTAAACTGTCATCTCCTTCTACTAAGAAGCCAGCTGTTTCTCCTACCACAAAAAAGCCAACTCTTTCTCCCACATCAAGGAAGTCACCAGTTTCTCCCACAGTTAAAAAGCCATCGGTTTCTCCCACAGCTAAAAAACCTCCTGTTTCTCCTACATCCAAGAAGCCTTCTGTGTCACCATCTTCTAAAACAGAAAGAATTGAGGAAACTATGTCTGTTCGTGAACTAATGAAAGCTTTCCAGTCAGGTCAAGACCCATCAAAGCATAAAGCTGGACTTTTTGAGCATAAGTCTGTAAAGCAGAAACAACAGGATTCTGACAAAGGGACAACTAAAAAAGGAGCTACTCAGGCAGAAAGTGAAGAGAAGCTAGCATTAACCTCTAGAGACACACATAAAAAAGACAGTCCTAAAAGCAAAAAGAACCAGGAACCTCAGGCAGAGGTAGGTTTGCAATCTAAAAAAATCACGCAGAGTATACCTCATATAATCTTGAAGAAAGATTTAATGACAAAACCACAGAGTGACAGAAAAAAAGAACCTCCTGTCATTGTTGAAGAAAAATCCAAAGATGTAGCCCTGACATTTGATGACCAAGGAGATACTGAGCTTCAGATTAGTCCAGCTAGAAAGACATCAACTGATTTTTCCGATGTCATAAAAGAAGAGCTGGAAGATAATGATAAATACCAACAGTTGCGGCATATTTCAATTACAGAGGAAGGTGAGCTTCACTTAGATCAAGTTCTGACCAGTCCATTCAATGTTACATTTCCATCAGAACATGTGAAAGATGGGTTTTTGCCCACACTCTCCTTGCAAAGTGGTGCTTTGGATGGCAGCTCAGAAAGTCTTAAACATGAAGGCGTAGCAGACTCTCCAATTGGTAGCTTGCTTGATGGAACTCCCCAGAACAGCTCTGAGGAAAGTTATAAGCATGAGGGCTTGGCAGAAACTCCAGAAACAAGCCCCGAGAGCCTTCCATTTTCATCTAAGAAAACAGAGACTGCTGACCAGATGGAAGAAACTATATTAGCCAGTGCAGTGCAGAGGACTTCAGAAACGCATTCACCAAGGGGGCTTTCTCCAACAGAAAAGCAAATTACTATTTGTGACAAAGACCTAAAAGATATGACAGAAACCACAGAATCCCATTCCCATCATATGTCAGAAGAACACTCCAAAGGCCTAGATTCTAGCTCAACTCTGATTGATAAAGATGCTCTCCATGATAAATCATCAGTGCTGGCAGATCAAAGACATTTAACTAAATTAGCTGAACCAACTGATTCTTTTATTGAAAAAGATGAGGATACATCCTTTGAGCCATATACCATTAGCAGAGGACTAGAGCTTTCATTTCCTAGCCATGAGGGAGAAGGTCTTAGCCCAGCTGCAGATGAATCCATAGCTATAAGTCATAAAGATTCATTGGAAGCAAGCCCAGTGTTGGAAGATAATTCTTCACGTAAAACACCCGATTCCCTTGAGCCTAGTCCAACCAAAGAATCCCCCTGTCGTGATTCTCTGGAAAGTAGCCCTATAGAACAGAAATCAAAGGCTGGCTTCCTTCCAGGTCCTGGTCCAATTCAGGCTGCCCCTGCTAAAGCTGAAAACTTCCCAGAACTAGCAGCTGTACGATCTAGACTCTTACGTGATCCTGATGGAAGCGCCGAAGATGACAGTTTAGAACAAACATCTCTTTTGGAGAGCTCAGGAAAAAGTCCTCTTTCACCTGAGACTCCTAGCTCTGAAGAAATTAGCTATGAAATCACACCAAAAATAACTGAATCACAGATTCTTGCAAATATACCCAAGTCCGCAGTAATTCCTGAGGTTAATGAAGACGATTCAGAAGATGAACCAAAGAAAAGAGTCACTCCAGAAGAGGAGATGTTTAAAATGGCGGCCAAAATTAAGATGTTTGATGAGCTGGAACAGGAAGCAAAACAAAAGAGGGACTATAGAAAGGATTTCAAACAAGATGATATTTCAGCTTCTGATTTAGAAGGTGCTTCTGAAACTGAAAGGCTGCCTTCAACAACTCTAGAAGATAATGCTTTATTATCTACAATAATGTCTTCTGGAGTTGTATCTAGAAAGAGCTCTTCATCCTCAGAAAGTGAGCCAGAATTAACAAAGCTGAAAAGAGAAGCTGATTCTGGGCTGTTAATGGAACCTACAATGAGATTGCAACCTTCTTCACCTCATCTTTCCAATATGGATTCTAGTTCCAGTCCTGAAGAGACAGGATTTCAGCCTATAGAGTCTAAGCAGCAAGCATTCAGTACTGAGGAGGATAACACAGAATCTGATAAACCAACGGAGGAAACCAAAATGTCGTGTGATACTTCACTTGCTTCTGATGCCAGTATCATAGCACAGGCTAGTGAATCAAAGTGCTATAGTACAGATGAGAGTGACACAGTTAGTCCTAATGGCCCTATGATGCCACCTGAGGAATCTTTCTACCATTCTGCTGATGATGATGCTCAAAAAATTACTGAATTATATGAAACTTCAGTGGCATCATACCAGCAGGATGATTCTTTAAAAGATAGTGTAGCTTCTGAAGGGGTAATACCAAATGACTTAGTTAGCATGGAAGGAACTTCAGAGGGCTCCTGTACATCTGGGACTTCTCATTGCTGTGTTTCACAAAATAATGTATTGGCTACTAATGTTTCACCTGACCACTCCCCTTTGGGAAGTGATATGGCTGGAACAGATCATAGGTTAGAGATCACAGACAGGGCTTTTCCTAGCATAGAGAACACCACGGAATTTTCATCTCCAACAACCCCAAAAAGTAAATATGAAAGTGATATAGAAGAATTTGGCAAAAGTAGTGGTTTGCCTATAACAAGCCCTTATGAAAATGTCCCTTCACAACATTTTTTTACTAATGATGAAATTAGTACAGAAATTAATTTAAAAGCAAGAATAGACCAGTCATTTGATGAATATTATTGTGATAAAGAAAGCACTAAAATGACTGAAGGTAGAAGCATGAATTCTCTTTATAGAACACTGTCAGAAGGTTCTGAAGTTCAGGTCCCAGAAGGTATTTGTATGGAGATAGAATCCAAGCAAGTGGACACTTTTCATAAAAGACCAGCTTCAGCATCTTCGGCATCAGTCTCTACATCACTTGATGAAGCTGCTCTACAAGATATCAGGTATGAAGCTGAAGAAATAATTAGCCAAGTAATTATCACTAGGACAGATGTGGATTCTGACAAGTGGAGTCAAATTCGTGAAGATGATGATGCTTTTGAGGCTAGAGTGAAGGAGGAAGAACAAAAAATATTTGGCTTAATGGTAGACAGGAGATCACAAGGCACCACACCTGATACAACACCAGCCAGAACACCTACAGAAGACGGGACTCCTTCCAGTGAACCAAATCCCTTTCTTTTCCAGGAAGGAAAATTGTTTGAAATGACAAGGAGTGGTGCCATTGATATGACTAAAAGGAATTATTCTGATGAAAGCTTAGACTTTTTCCAGATGGGAGAGCCATCTCAGGAAGAAGTATCATTATCTGAAGAAATGAGAGAAGCCGAAAGCCTAGAATGTCCCTCTGAGGAACAAACTTCTATTTCAGTTGCACCTTCTGAATTTAATAAAGCAGAAACAGCTGTGAAAAGTCCCCTTATATTTGTATCAGAGGATGAGACTGCTGCTTTATGTAGCACAAAAGAAGATGTTAAATCTCGAATTCCTATTAAAATGGGTATTTCAGCCTCTTCAAAATCACCAAAGAAAGAAAGAACAGCTTCTGATCATGACCTTCCCTCTAGTGAGACATTTGATAGCTCCCAGATGCCTTGTCCTATCTCTCCTGAGCAGACAGTGATTGATGTACACTTAAATTTTTCCACAGTCACTAGGTCTGTTTGTGCTGACAAAGAAGATGATTCCCCAGATTCCTCCCCAGAGGAACAGAAATCTGTGATTGAAATCCCCACAGCTGTCATGGAGAGTGTGCCTTCTAGTGAAAGCAAATCCAAAATCCCCATTAGGGCTACTCCAGCTACATTCCCATCATCAGATAAGTCAGAAGCTGAGAGCCTTTCTTCAATTGGCTTCCTAGACAACCTGGAAGAACCACAGCATGATGCTTCCAAACCAAAAACTAAAATTCCAGTTAAGGCAATTTTTCAAAGAGGTGAGCAAGAATCTAATTTAGAAACAGAAACACCTGCCTGGCAGTCAGAATCAGCTAAAGTCCCTGATGTAACCGGCAAGCTACCTATGAAACAAGACGTTAGGAGCAAATCTGAATCTGATGCCAGTGCCTCCATGGACTCAAACGCTAAGCATTCAGTCAAAGCTAGAAGTTACACTGAGGCAGAAGCAGAGACCAGAGAGAGGGTGGGTGAGATGAAGCTTGAACTAGAATCAGATGAGTTGATGACTGCCCGACCAAAGATATTTTCTTCACGATTACCTGTTAAGAGCAGAAGTGCCTCAGCTTCCCGAAATGCTGTTAGTCCCTCAAAAGAAAGTAAGGAACATTTTTTTGAGCTTTACAAAAATTCCATAGAATTCTTTGAGGAGATTAGCGATGAAGCTTCCAAGTTAGTGGATAGACTTACACAGTCAGAGAGAGAACAAGAGTTAGTTTCAGATGATGAAAGTAGTAGTGCCCTAGAAGTTTCGGTTATTGAAAATGTGCCATCCATTGAGACTCAGCAGTCACTTGCCGAGGACATCTTTGACACCAGGCCCATTTGGGATGAGTCCATTGAGACTCTGATTGAACGTATTCCTGATGAAAATGTCCCTGACCATGTTGAAGGTATTTGCCAGCCACTGGGTTCCCTTTGCTAGTACGCATGTCATAAATCGCAAGGTTTTGCCTGTTTCTTCTATTTTATTCCTTGCTCTGCTCTTGGTGCGTGGTTCGTGTGTTGTTTAAAAAGCTTCCTATGTTTATTAATGTGCTTTGTGTGAGCTCCGTTTGTTTTTGTGTTTTTTATGTATTTTACTGTCTCTGAAACAATCTCAAGATTGCACAATGCAAATGTTCACGGAAAGCATAAATATAACAAAATAAGCTTTCTCACGTGAAAAACACACACTTCCTTAATGTTGTAGTAACACTAATAAACTTATAACATTATTTCATTTGTAGTACAACTGACCAATGCAAGTTTTAGTTTTTGAGTTTTCATCACTCTGCTTGAATCTTTTTAATGAAATATTTTTGACACAGAAAAAGACAGGTAAGATTACTATTTCTGGATATGTAGATCCATTTATATGTGTCAAAGTTATCAGAATCTAGAAACATACTGAACTTTGCTTCCATAATTAATTGAAGGCTGTTTTCAAATACTGAATGTACTGATTCAGTCCTATAAAATTTAGAGAGGAATGTTCATGTACTTTTCCCCCCTTAAGAATCCACTCCTACAGTAGTACTATAGAGTACTAAGGAAAAATGATAGTGGAATTATGAATATATTTCCTAATAGACTTTTTGAAGATCTAAAATATGTCTATGGGAAAACAAAAACTCAAACTTTGCTGATATTGCCTTGGCTTTTGGATATATCTATTTTTCCTGCTGCTTTTATGCATATTTTCTCCGAACAAGTTTGTACTTGCTTTTCCATGCCTACTTTTGTGAAGAAGGAAAAAATTGAGGGGGGAAAACATGAAATGTTGGGTTAAATATATGATTTAATATATCATCCTGACATAATAATTCATAATTTGCTGTAACTGTTAGAAGTTGTGTGGCTTAAAATGTAGTTCAGTGTTTGAGAAGAAGACACAGAGTGATTCTAGAGGCCACAAATATGCATTTAATTTGTTAACCGAAGTAGCATGGAAAAATAACATCTCTGTCCCAGCAAAATATTTAGTTTCCCTTTGTTTTATTTTATTTAAAATAGATGGGAACTTACATAAAATTTAGGACAGTGTTTCCAATAACATATTGATGCATATTTTTGAAAGAAATTCTTAATGATTGCTGAAGAGTAGAGTATTTTAAATTTAGTCATTTATCAAGGCCTTTAATTCACTTAAAAGCAGCTACTGTTCTAAAAACACTGGCCTATTTTATGAAGACTCCTTTCATTTTTAAAAAATTATTTTTATACAAATAAATAACTGTCCTATTAATCTTATTTTAGAACAACAAGATGATCAGGAAAGACTAGAAGAAAGATTAGCACATATTGCTGATCATCTTGGATTCAGCTGGACAGGTAAAGTATAATCTTGGAGAGATCACAGTTGTTAATTGTCAGAAACAACACTACTGAACAGTTGTAATTCAAAAATGCTAATAGCAATCCAATCTCTCCCTTGATTTTAACTCTTCTCTGAATCACTATTCAGTAAAATGTGATGAAGTTTTAGTACTATTAGCATGGTGTAAATTTAATTGGTATATCTATGTATACTTCCTTGCTATATAAATATGAACACATGAAGTTATAACACTGGGTTCTAAAATAAATATGTCCTAAAATAAATATACACTATTATTATTACTAACAATCTTTGCTGACTCACTGTGGTTCACAAAATACCAAAATACTATAAAATGCCCACAGTAAAGAAAAAGCACCATGTCCATTTAAAACCACCTGAGAACATCAGATAGTTTTTTTTTAAATAAACAAATGGAAATCTAAACAGCAAAATTTATCATTTCCTAAAAACGTTTTGGAAAAGTTCAGTGTTTAGTAATTTCCAAAAAGCCATTGCCAAGGAGATCAAGCTAACATGTTCCCCATAGTCCCTCTCTGAGGAATGTGGATAGTTTTAAAAAATTGAGAAACAAATATGAGGGGAAAACAGCATTTTCTGTTCTCTCACAAAAATGCCACTTCACAAAATTGGGCTATTGTAATGCAGTGCAAAATTGGGCCACCAAAATGCAGCATAAATATAATTATGTTTTATTGTTAGAATAAAAAGGAAAGGCGGACAAAGAAAATAACAATTCTAATTATAAATCCTTCAGTTCTTCTTGAGATGCACTAAATATGAATGATCTGTTTTGCACATAGTAGAAGACCAGCTGATCTATGTACTTAAGGAGTAATGCAGATGTATTATTGTTGTTTTGAATTAAGGTTAATAGAAACTGGGCTGTATTTCTAAAAAATACTTAAATATAGTTTGAACCCATGTGTAAGTTTTCCATAAAAACAGTAGAACGTTAGTCTCATAAGGTACATTTTAAAAGTACATTAAAGGTAGATGCATTAAACTTATTGGAGTCTTAATGCACCTATTTGAATTGCATACTCATATAATCTAGCAATTTTCCCTCAAAATTTGATGGTTGTAGAATGGGAGCCCAGAAGAATGAAAAAGGGGTAGACAGAGTGCCACTCCTGATCTGAAGCTACAGAGAATTGTTCAATTAAATAAACATTATGGTAATAGTGAGCAAATGCAGTATAGTAATTATAACTGGCTTGCAACTGTATAAGTCATAGTTCAAGTATAACCTTAAAAATGTTCCATATATATAGTAAAGAAAAACATTATCTATAATTTTGGCAATGCTGTTAAGTATTATCAGAACTACCTATGTATGTATCTGGACAGAGGGAGGGAGGGAGGAAGGGAGGGAGAGAGAGAAATCGATATATAGATGTGTGTGTGTCTATGTGTTTACTGGGTTTATTCTGAGGTGAGTATAGAATTGTAATCTAATCGTAGCAATAAGTGATATTTATAAAGAATTGCAACTGGTCAAAATTATCTGAATACTTTGTGCTTACAGAGCTAGCAAGAGAATTGGATTTCACTGAAGAACAAATTCATCAAATTCGGATTGAGAATCCTAATTCCCTTCAGGATCAGAGTCATGCATTACTGAAATATTGGCTGGAAAGAGATGGAAAGCATGCTACTGGTATATTTATTTTAGCAGTTACCATCCTTCACTCCTCTTCTATTCTGACAGCCAAGTGTACCTAAGAGAATGCAAGTGTCATGCAAAAGTAAACCAATATAAAGCTCCTACATATACACAAGGACACTCATACTAAGTATGGACTGCTATAGATGATAATTATCTATGATCTAATCTGCCTCTAAATGTAGCTACACTGTCTACTGAGATTACAACACTGATGAAAATGACTTCTAATATTTCTTTTTTCTATGTTCTCAATGATATAGAATTGTTCATATCCCAATGGTATAAATTAACATGCCCATATTCTGTTTATATGCTTTTCTTGAAAGACAAATAATAACTTGAAGGTAGTATGGTTTTAAACTATAAAATGATTCAAGTAGAGTAGGATAACTTTACTTTCCGATGCAATTGTCATTTTCAGAGCAACTGTACCTGCATAATTTCCAGGTAAATTCTGTGTATTCTCCATGATATCCTGTATTTGTATATACTTAAAAGAATAAGACAGCTCTGTGAATAGACATGTCTTTCCTTCCTAATATGATTGCCAAACATTAGTAGTACTCCTCCATTTTTTTTTCTGAGAGGTACGTAATATATAAGAACTCTTGCATAAAATCATCTTTTTTATTTTTTATTTATAGTGTATTTAACTAATTTATATACTATAGTTGCCAATCTCACATCCGTGATGTGGGGCAGCTTATAAATAAAATATAAACAGTAACCCTACTCTTATTAGCTACTTCATCCCCAAGAAATAATTTCATTTAAGCAACCAAGATAATTAGTATCTTTTTAGTACCATATTATGTACAAGTAATCTTTATTTAGTTACCACAATTGGGGCTGGAAATTCTATCATATTATTAACTGGAAAGGTTGCTAAGTGAAATTGTGACTACACTTATTATGTCATTTCAGTTTTCTTTTACAGGCCTGTAAAGATTGTAAATGTGAAGACTGGGCATAAAGTAAACTTTTTTTATCACCACCATAACTGCAAATAGTCGCTAAACGAGGCAGTCACTAATCAAGGGCTACCTATATTGTTAGAATCTCCTAGTTAAGTACTTCCTATTGGAATGAAGAGACATTCCATTAATAGTGCAACATTTGGGGCTGCTTGCTTCAGAAGTATGGATAACTTGTACAAAGCTATCACATGGTCACCCTTTTCATATATCTGAATATACAGTATTTAGTGGGTAATTGTTACTTGGAAGATTGTCTTTCAAGCTATTTCAGGAGGCAATTCATATCCCTCCCCAAGAATACAATCAATCATATATAACTGTGATTATCAGGACAACTAGAAGGATCAAAAAGAAAGAAAAATAAATAACCACTGCTTTTCAAGTGATTAGAGACACCGGTTTACACTATCCCTTCCTATTGGCTGACTTCACAGCAGTTATCCAAAAACTGAGTAGATGGCATTCTTCATGCATACAAATTGTTAAAAATAAATGCTGTCTCTTCCATAATACAGATTCAGGTCTTACAGAGTGTCTTAAAAAAATAAATCGAATGGATATTGTTCACCTAATGGAAAGTAGTATGGAAAAGTCCAGAGATCATGGTCGCACCTATGCAGAAATTGAACAGACAATAGTACTGGATCATAGTGAAGGTGAGAATGCATGATTACTATTCAGTAACTGATTGTTATCAAATAATACCCATCAGCTATCACTGAGATAACTACCAGTGATTCTATACTAAAGAGAGCATTCCCATCAGTTCATATATAAATAAATATAGTGCTTTTCAACATTGTAATAGTAATGATTAGAAGAGAATCATCACCAAATATTGAGAGGTCAATAGTAGATGTGCATATTGAAATTCTCTAGATGACACTTCACCATACCACCCATAAAACCATCAATATCTTCAAAGAAATCCAGATTACCAGAGAAGAAGACAACAACAAGTCACTACCCTTCCTGGACATCCTGATCAGCAGAAACCACAATGGGAAACGAGAAACACAGACTAGAAAAACCGCCCGTACCACTAATAAGTGTTCCACTACCAAAGCAATAGTCCAACCTCCCACAAGAGAAGCTGCATAGGAACTTTATTTAGACAAGGACAAATTCATTGCAGCAACCTGAACAGCAGAAAAAGGAGATAAAAGCAGCTGTACAACATCTTCTAATAAAACGAGAATCCATGCAACTTTATCAAAAAGTGCCTGACCACTCAAACCAATATAGCACAAATAACACAAGCCGTAAAAAGCATAACACTGTCATACATCAAGAATATCTCAGAAACCACTGACTACTACAACCATATGAAATCAGTGTAGCGCACAAGCCAACTAAAGTCTTCCAAAACTAAGTAAACCAAAAACTCAGTATCCCCAGGGCAAAAAAAAGAAAACAGGAATCATCTACAATATATGGTGTTATGACTGCAACAGCCACTACGTAGCACAAACAGGAAGAAGACTGCCAGAATGCATCCATGGACACAAAATAGCAGTCAGAAGACATGATGAAAACTCTTACTTTCACAACATATGGACAAAGCTAATTATAGCTTCAGTTGGAAAACTCTGATCATCCTAGACCAGGGGTGTCAAACTCACGGGTCGCGGGCCAGATGCATCACATTCTGGCCCTGCCCCCACTCGGTTTAGCAAAGGGGAGAAAGTTCTATACATCACATGATGCCACCATGATGATGCGAGTTTGACACCTCTGTCCTAGAACAAACCCAAGTCCAAAAACCCTTTCTAGAAGCCTGGTATTCTGATAAATTAGCCATTAATAGACATATAGTTATAAACAATGTCTACATACTTTGTAAAAGAGACAATAAAAAAGTCAAAAAGGGAACAAAAAGACCAAAACATCCCCCAATACCAGCAATTAAGACCCAGATGAGCACAATTTACCTCCAAGATTAACATCAAACCAGAATTTAGAATAACAAAGTTGGAAAGGATTTTGGAGGTCTTCTAGTCCAACCCCTTGCTTAGGCAGGAAATCTAATCTCTTCTGAAAATCTTCCAGTGTTGGAGCATTTACAACTTCTGGAAGCAAGTTGTTCCACTTATTAATTGTTTTAAATGTCAGGAAATTTCTCCTTAGTTCTAAGTTGCTTCTCTCCTTGATTAGTTTCCACCCATTGCGTCTTCTCCTGCCTTCAGGTACTTTGGAGAATAGTTTGACTGCCTATTCTTTGTGGCAGCCCCTGAGATATTGGAACACTGCTATCATGTCACCCCTAGTCCTTCTTTTCATAAGACTAGACATATCGAGTTCCAAAAACCATTCTTTATATGTTTTATCCTTGAGTCCCCTAATCATCATTGTTGCTCCTCTCTGCATTCTTTCAAGAGTCTCACCATCTTTTTTACATCGTGGTGACCAAAATTGGATGCAATATTCCAAGTGTGGCCTTACCAAGGCATTATAAAGAAGTTACCAATACCCCAATCAAGCAACTATCAAACAAGCTAACAGTAAACAACCCAACCAAAGAACTCCAAGACCACTCCCACCAACACTGATAGGGCAAGCTGTTACAATATAAATTGAGAGCAAACCCCACTCTTTACTAGCACTGATGATGTTACCTACAGTAGTTTGGGTAATGAAATGTCTGCAAGAAAACAATCGAGCTTAGTGAGCACTGAGGACCCCTCATTTCAACCCTGAGCTACAAATATGGAGTTTTATAGATAGGATTCCTTGAAATCACTAGTAAGTTCTTACTTTTGAATGCATGGCATGGTTATTTATCTATGGTTAAATATAACAAACTTTTAATTTATGTTTTGAAGCTGTGGAGTTGCTGGTTATATAGTCTTTTAGCACGAAATATTTGCTCCACATCACATTATTACAAATCTGCATCTAGATAGCAATTACTTCATTTATACAGATTAAAGGATTGTTGTTTTATTTTGCCTTCAGGTTTCTCTGCACTTCATGAAGATCTATGCAGCACAAAAGATAAAAAAGAGGAAGAATATTCATTTTCTAAAGACAGTGAGCAATCAGATCATCCCCCCCTTGTTTCAGAAGAAGACCTTTCTCTCAGTTGCTCACCCTTGCATGAAGGCACATCAAAAGCTGAGGCAGAAGTATCTGTGGTAGAACTACTACACCAAATACAGAAAGATCATGTGAAAGCTGAATTCTCAGGGAAGCCTCATGAGCTGACAGAAGATTCACCTACTTCACAGGAGTATGTGTAAGAATTCTACAGTAGGGCGTCATATATAACAACAGGAAATATTTATCGCATAGAGATCATGTTTCACAAGCAAGGAACAAATGCAAATTTTGCAAGATTAGGAATCCTTCAATTTTGCCAAGAAAAAAATCAATGAGCTAAATAATTTCTAAAACTTTAGAATAAAGCAAATATATGACTGATATACCATTTTAAAATATTCTTGGACTTCTTAACTTAAATAAAAATAGTCATCGAATTAGTTACAATACAATTTTATTATTGTTTCTAAATATTTGTCATATTTCTGAGTGTGTTTTTAGTATGGCAAAATTTTGACTGGGTTAGATAATGGTTCTTTTCTTTTTTCTTTTTATTTTGAATGAAGCTCAATTCATGGTGAGATCAGCCAAGGTTCTCTGGATACTGAATTACTGGGTGAAATTTTCATTGAGGAGCAGACATTGCTTCCATGAGAGGAGTGTCAATCAGTAAGAGGCCAAAGATTCCCGAAGTGGGTAATCCTTGAGCTTGCCTATTCCTATTCCTGGAAATAAATAGGTTCTCAACCTTTTCTTTACACAGACCCCCTTTAAATACCTTTTGTGGCCACAGGCCATGGCCATAGACCTCCAAAACTTAACTCAAGATTTAAATCATAAGATTTCTTCGTGCCTTCATGGACCCCCTGTGAGGACATTGAGGTCCCTCAGGGTTCCGTGGACTACAGGTTGTGAACCACTTACTTAGAATAAGGGCACTTATGTAATACTAGTCTCAATTAAATAGTCACAAAGAGACAATTGTTATGACACACATGACAGACTGGAAAGAAAACCATTAATTCTACCCTGTGCTGGCAATGGAACAAATGGAATGAATGGGAGCAGTGAAATTGCTTACAAGAATTCAGGAAAGCCAAATATTTTTTTAAAGGGGGAGGAAAGTTCCACTACTCAAAATCAAAATATATCATAATGGAGTACTGGAAAGCTAGACTGTTTTGGTTTAACAGAAATGTCTATACAAAATATTGCTAGATGCTTGTTTTTGTCTGATGAAACAGTTTACTTGCAGTTCTAATCTTTTCGAAAGGAATATGATAACTTGAATAATATTAGATCTGTAGTCATGACACTCGGTATTGAATTTTCACTTGTATTCTCACTCAATTTTACCCTGGGTTATTCGTTTCAAAACATTACGTGCCACTTTTCAAAACAGAGCCAAGTGGCTTTAGAATAAATCTTATTCCTCAGAGACAGACTAGAAGAATTAATCATTTGTTTCCTCCAATCTTTATTAACAGTATCGCAACTTCTGGAGCAGATTTGACACAAGTGCCCCAAAGTGTGAAAACAGCCAGCATTGCCAGTGACAAGCCTGAGGATTCCACCGCAGGATGTGAAGATCTTGAAAAGCCACCATTGCATACTCCAACATCTAGTGACCGAACTGATTCTCCCATTGTGGAAGAACCTGAAGACCATTACTTTCAGCAAGAAGATACGCATCCAAGGAAAACCAGTCTGGTGATTGTTGAATCCACTGATGAACAGCCTGAAGTATTAGAAAGACATGAAGAAGAATTGTTAGAAAAAGTAAGTTGTAACACTAACATGATTCATGAAGTAGTGCCCTTTGAAGAATTAATGAAGAAGAAAGTCTTTAATGTAATTGTATTTAATACTTGGAACAGTACACCCAGATAATAAGAAATAAGAGAAGTTCGAACTGTAGATTAAAATACAGTTCTAGCAAAAATACAATTGAAAGACAATGCACTGAAAAATGTAGAAGCGAATAAAGAGAAATATAACTAAAAAGATGCTATCATCTGAATAAGAACAGAATAAGCCTGAACTGAAAAATATGAAATGGATGTAAGAAGAAATAAATAAATAAATAAAATAAAATAAATAAATTCTTTGAAAGAAAAAAAATTAGCAAGATTAAAATACAATATTTTTTTACTGTTTGATTTCTGTCTGGAAAGAAAAAAAGGCAAGAAATAATTAATAAGCTTTTCCAAACATATATTTGCAGAAAATTAAGAATTCATTAAAATTACACACTTTTCACACTTCAGTTCCTTCAAAGAATGTATTAGTAATTAGATTGTGAATGAAAATGTACTTTTGTCCCATGGCAATTGAGACTTGTAAAAAAATTTCATTACAAAAATCAGTTAAATCAGAAAATAATACACCTACACATTTTTCCAAAGAGCTGTTTGGGAATATTTAAGAGCATGCATGGAACATCTGTCTTTAAATGGAAAAGCTGGGTTGTATGGATGCTTCCCAAGCTATCCTTGACCATGCACAACAATTTCACTCACTGGAAAACAATGAAACAAACAGGCAAAAATAGAGGTAGTTCTTGACTTATCACAATTTGTTTAGTGACCATTTGAAGTTACAATGGCACTGAAAAAAGTAACTTATCACTGTTTTTCACGCTTACGACTGTTGCAGCATTCCCATGGTCATGTGATCAATTTCAGCTGCTTGGCAACTGTCTCATATTTATGGCGGTTGCAGTATTCCAGAGCCATGTGATCACCTTTTGCAACCTTCTGACAAGCAAAGTCAGTGGAGAAGCAAGATTCACTTAACAACTGTGTTACAACTGCAGTGATTTCATTTAACCGTTGTGGAAAGTAAGGTCATAAAATGGGGACAAAACTCACTTAACAAATGTCTCCTTTAGCAACAGAAAATTTGGGCTCAATTGTGGGGGTAAGTTGAGGGCTACCTGTACATGGGTACATCCAGGAACACCTTTGGATCAGTGGTGGGATTCAAAAATATTTACTACCGGTTCTGTGGGCGTGGCTTGGTGGGCGTGGCAGGGGAAGGATATTGTAAAATCTCCAGTCAGAGGTGGTATTTGCTGGTTCTCTGAACTACTCAAAATTTCCGCTACCGGTTCTCCAGAAAAAAAGAATGGCTAGTTTAGTATAAAAAGAAGTCTTTCAGCAAACCGCTTCTTTCAAGGGCTTTGTTCAACCATAGAAAATAATTTATTTTTTTCCCTTTAAAACTCACAAGTTATGATGTTTGGCCTGACCAATAGAGCAGTAACCTAAATGCATCCCACCTATAGTTCTTCACAGCTCCCTGGCACTTCGAAAGTTGCTACCATGGCAACTCAATCATCATTATGAGCCTTTAAGAAACGTGTCCCAACTCCCATTGCAGAAGAATCACAACAGTAAATATGTAGTGGGAAAATTCTATTTCCAGGATCTTTAGCTGAAGACATTGCCGTTGCAAAAGTGAAAAGGATTTCAAAACTATCCTAGAACTATTTAAAACAAAATTAACTGTGTTTTCTAAGTGTAAAGGAATTATACATATATTTTACTGGCTAAAACACAGAAGCAATTATAGTAATTATTAGTTAACTCAAACTTGCAATATAATCTAGTCCAGTGGTTCTCAACCAGTGGTCCGCAGAACCCTGGGAGGCTGTGATGGTGTCACAGGGGGTCCACGAAGGCTTGAAGAAATATTACGATTTAAATCATGAGTTAAGTCGTGGTGGTCCGTGGCCATGTTTCATGGCCACAAAAGATATTTAAATGGGTTCCGTGGTGAAGAAAAGGTTGAGAAACACTGATCTAGTTCATAATTATCAATTTGTTGGAAATTCTTATCTGTTTAGTCTAATTGGGTTTATGGAAGATGAAGTTGTAACTATATTTGCATTATTCCACTGGTGCGCTTCTTGTAGTACATGGTATTGAAAGAAAGTTGAAGGCAAGTTTCCTCAGTTTTGCAACATCAAATGTTCAAAGAAGATTTCAAACATTCAGCCCCAAAATAGAAAGAAAAGTAATATAGCATACTTTGCAGTGTATCTCATTCCAGCAAGCGTTTGTATGGTGTTCATTGTGTTATTAGAAAGAGGCCCAATTATTCATTCATATGTACAGTACCCGTATGATGAGAGCAATGCTTCCATGCTTCCACTAGGAGCTAGCAGAGGAATTAGGTGAGCTGGAGGTCAGCTCAGATGAGGAAGAGATGGTAACTACCAGGGTCGTTCGCCGCCGGGTAATTATTCAGGTACAGGAGTGTTGAACTATTGCACGTACCAGTGGCAACTATGCCCTGGTTATACCTCTTAAACCCACCCTTTTCCCCAAAATCCTGTTCCTGAAACACCCCCTTGGCTGGCAATGCACTGATGAATTTGGCATGTTCCTGGGTAATGCATGTCAGTTGATTCACATAAATATTTTTCCCGCAATTTCATTTGGAAACTCAAGGAATGTAAATCAAAATGGCAGGTGTTTAATTTGCATTTTGAAAGAGACTTAACTCTCTGAGAGGACAGTTTGACTTGCTGCTTCAGCACCACCTACGAGCCAAATTCTTTCTTGTTCCAAGTTTGCATGCTTTTTAAAAAGGATTTATTTGCAAAATGTTTAATAGCATTGGAGCAATTTGCTTCAGTGCTTCTTGCCTAACTTATGTTGTTGTTTGAGCCAACTAACTTCTGCTATGCAGTTTACTTAAAATAGCCAGTTATTTTGTTTCTGAACTCTGTTCTTTGTTCAATAGGCTGATGATGTGCCTGAAATACCCCCGGAAGCTGTAACGGAGGAACAGTATGTGGATGAACATGGCCATATTGTGGTGAAGAAGGTATTCAGCTGATGGTTTATTAGGAGAATACAAAGAAAGAGCATTTTAGTACATTAATTATATCTTGAGCCATTTCAAGGTTTCCAGAGTTAAATAGAGGGGCTTTAGGATATTTTACTACAGGTTGTCCTCAACTTACAACAGTTCATTTGGTGACCTTTTGAAATTACATAACTTAAAAAAGTAATTTATGACAATTGGTCACACGATCAAAATTCAAAAGCTTGGCAACTGGCATGTACTTATGATTAGCTTTTGCGACCTAACAAGCAAAATCAATAGGGAAGTCAGGTTCACTTAACAACTGTGTGACTAGCTTAACAATTGTAGTGATTCACTTAACATCTAGGGCAAGAAAGGTCATAAAATGGGGCAAAACTCACTTAACAAATGTCTCACTTAGCAACAGGAATTTTGGGCTCAGTTGTCGTTGTGTGTTGAACACTACCTGTATATGTAACAAGGGAATCTTTTATGGAAAGTGAGGATTTAGGCGCTATGCATTTCATACCACATGAGATAAAGGAAAACATTTTATCCCATGCAACTGTTGCACAAAAATAGAACATCTTTATTCATTTTAGGAGAGAACAGAATAGTTGAAATTATATTTTGCAAAATTTGTTCATTTTGATTGTCTCTCTCATGTGCACATGAGAGAGACAATGCTAGGTATTTTAAAGGACAAATATGATTGCCATGATTTAAAATTCAACGACATGCTAACATGATGAACATGCCATCCTGCTAGGTCACTAGAAAAATCATCAGGCAATTCGTTTTACCAGATGGAACAGAAAAAGAAGAAGTTGTGATGCAGGGAGAACCCCAAGATCCTGTTACAGTGGAAGAGGGAGACAGTTACTCCAAAGTCATAAAGCGGGTGATGTTGAAAAGTGAAAGTGAACAATCAGAGGTTAGATTTTTTTTTCCTGCCATGGTTTATTTATTTGAAACGAATTTTTGAAATGGGCACTAGAATTACCCATTATACTGTAAATTATTATGTTCATTACATTTAATATAAACTTGGTTTCATAAGGTTCACTTCACATGTCTTGTTTAAACCCCCTTGGAAGATGGCTTATTCAATGAAGAATTGTAGAGCAATTCTTTAATAAGTCTAGCACTCAACTATATCATTTTCCAAGAAATGAATGAATCGGTAACGTTAACGCAAACTTTTCACAGGAACGTAGGAAAATAATGTTTGGGGCATTATCTAATTAGCCAATAGCCATGGTTCTGGAGTCAGCAATTATTGACATAAGCAATTATTCATGAAATCTGTTTCACAGGTGACCTTTTCTGAGCCAAGCTTATTACCAAGTGCCTCAGAATTCCAGACTGAACCAGTAGAAGGCCGCAAAGTCAGTAAAGTTATAAAAACTACCTTAGTGCATGGGGAGAGAATGGAAAAACATCATGGAGATCCTAGTTTAGCAGTGAATCTTCCATCAGCCAAAGATGACTTCGAAGAGGTGAGATAATTATATGGTTTTGGCAACACTGTTAGAACTGCAATAGTACTAAGGGCAGAAACACATGTAGAAAAATTAGAAATAGCTAACCATAAATGAAGTATCATTATAGAAATGTATTCTTGTTTTTTTCCCCAGTATGTTTAGAATGATTTTTCCTTCTGAAAAAGATCTTAGAATATCATCTAATGGAACCCAGGGAGAGATTGCTCTGAATCTTAATTTTAGGTCCCAAGCTGTAAAAGGGTGCTTTGCTGTGCTTTGATAATGCTTTAAACCAGGGGTGTCCAACC